TCGCAAAACGTCCGGGGAAAGGGGACCGGCTCAAGCAAGCTTATGTCGTAGTGATCCTCAGCCGTTGGTCTCAGGAGCGATAGATAGACAAGAGTGAGGGGGAGGGAGGTGAAGGTGGAGACTGGTAGGAATAATTCGTAAGGAGCAGGAAAAAGGAGAGAGGGGAAGAGTGGTGGGAAGATATAAAAAAAACGCAATGGGGAATGGGAGTCAAATCTGGAGCAAATCAACAAAAGGGGACGAACTCTTCCTATAAACTGTCATCCATCCTTGCGACATATCCTCTAGAAATACACCCTTTAGTGAAGTCATTTCTAGGCCGGTTCACGTAACTGTAGATTGTATATGTACATGTTTGCGTGACTGACAGACACATCGTTTTCTGTTTATTGTAGATACTGATCGCCAGGGAATATGGAAATGCTTTAATGAAAAGATGTAGGATGATTAGTTTTAGTATTTAGCGTTTGGAAAAAAGTTGCCTGTCTGTACAGCACACTATGCGTGCTGTATATCTGTACATCTTCTACATACTTAAATTCATTTAATAACTCTCCACAACACATTTTGTAACATTAAGCTACCTAATCTAGCATAATAAAGTGCTACAGTTTCCCGAATTTAAATGTTACAAATGAAGAAATAAATGATTATTCTTGGTTCTTTCGGTAAAGTCACGTAGATGGAAACATATAGTTAATTATTGACGTAAAAAATTGTGATTGTAAAAAAAAGTATATATATGAACGAGCATAGATTCCTTTTTTTGGTCGTGTCAGGTGGAATTTTTATAGGACGTCAATTAGTTGTAAAAGTCAGGGTCATTCGCATGCGGAGAGGGGTGGTGATCTTCTTGGCCAAGAACTTGTGCTGGAGTTGGGGGAGACTTGGTAAGTGTGGCCAAGCTGTTGCGTGGGAGAGGTGAGTGTGGAGATAAATGCTCCCTCCCCACTGACACGGCTCCGCATGCTGTGGTTAGGTGATGTGTGTGCCGTGCCACGCCGTTACGGGTCGACCTCTGCAACATTTTTTTTAACAAAGACAAAGATCCCCTGTATAGCCTACACACAGGCTGTTGAGGCAAGGGCTGTTAGTGAGCACGTGTGAAGCCCGGCACAGCACACGAAAGAGGGTGTCTGGCCAACGCAATGAAACGGCCTCTTTTGTCTCCCCCCATTGCTGATGTTTACACACCGCACGAGGTATTCATTTAAGGCTGAGTCAACCTAGGGGATGTCCAGGGCCGGTCCAGATGTTCGCCACTGTTATTGGTCGTGTGCGTGAATCGAACTTGGGTCGCTGGGTTGGTAACGCGGTGTGCTAACCACGGCACTGCCGCTCCCACTCACGGACACACATCGCTCTCCCGCGTGTGTTTGGGCTGTACCGCGTGAATTTTCAGACATTGTGCCGGACAACACGCAGCACAACCTTAAAACACATCGGAGAAAGCCGTGCAGCTCAACCGCGAACACCTACACACGTGTACACATGCACACACACCTCCCCAATTTCACAACGTATCACATATATGCTTGGCCGGTTGCGACTGTTGTAAACGAAGGCAAATTTCAGAGTTTTATCAAGAAAGCCTGGTAAAAAAAAAATGTACCCAAAACAATTATAGTCAGTTCCAAAACAAATTTAATTAGCCGTGCTATTACGAACGATATAATGACGGAATGAAAAAAAAAGACGTGACTGCATGACCTCAGTTGCTTTGGAAACATTTTCGGTAAATATTTTTTAGGCGCAATGCAGAAAAACTCTCCGAGCAATCGATGGCGACGCCGTGTTTTCTTTAAGCGGGATAACGGCGGGCAGGCGGGCTGGCGGGCAGGCAGGGCGGGCGGGCAGTCGGGAGCTGCCCTCTCCCACGGGGCTGGCTGCAAGATAAGGCCACCTTATGGCGGCGGTGGTCCACAGGGAGCCCGGAAAGATGACCTCAGCCTCAGGAATGGCTGAGCGAGAGCGGATGCCCGAGTCCTGGGCGTTGTGTGCGTGGCACTGATAAGGGTGGCGCCTGAAGAGAGGCTCGCGGAATCCGGCACACCTCGTTTGTTTAAATCGCTATCGGCTTGTCGTCTGGCTGTGGTTTGCGTTATCACGGCGGCGAGGCAAAGCCAGGCTATGAGGATAGCGTCCCCCGACCCGCTGCCCTGAAGAGCCGGAGGGCACCGACCCTACTTTTTAACGAACTGAACTTGGCTCTGCCATGCCGTTGTCACGAAGTGGCAAATTATAGGTCAAGTTTTAACACAAACGTGTTGGGCGTTGCGCGTACAAGAGAGAGATTTTCCGCAGAGGTTTTCATCGTGCGTTAATTTTTAGTGCTAATTCAAACAATGTGTGTTACACTTAAGCAAGAACCGCAGCAGCCACTCATTCGCACCTCCGATTAGCACGGTTATCTACGTACAGCGCGAAAGAAGTTCGACATACAGTATTTTTTTTATTTAAAGCTTTCGTGACTGCAGGGATTCATATTCTTGGTTCTTCCCTTCTACGTGACTTTACCGAAAGAACCAAGAATATACAGACAGTACATTGAAAAGCACGATAACATAGATTTGTCAAATCTGTTCTGCGTGATGTGTTTTTCGGGGTGTACTGCATGTCGGTGGGCACGACGACCGACGTTTCGCCCCGCGTGCTGGGAGCTTCTTCTGGAACTGTGTTTGAATTCAGCTCTGATTTGATTTGAATTCAGTTTCCGAAGGAGCTCCCAGCGCACGGAGCAACACGCGGGACGCCGTGCCGATATGACGCACCGATATGACGCGCGGTGCAACCCGGTGACACAAGCGAGAGAAGATGTGTTTGGTAAACTAGCTCGACGTTACGTTTATCGTTTAGAAATTTGCCGTAGTTCTTGCTTGAATAAATAAATATAGCTTGAATGAATACAAAAGCACTTTTGTGGTTTTGTCCATACAATATTTCTCTTTTTGTTAATGCTAAAAGGATAGGTAGTTGTCTAAAAACGTCATTTGTTTTTCATGAAAACGTTTCCTTCTTTAACCTCGGCGATTAACGCGGTTCGAGAGCAGAAATGTTCGTGTGGGTTCTGTTGATAATTACTTGAAAGTCGCGCAGTGTACGCACGTTGAAATTTACAGGAATGAGGAGTATTTTTTTGTAAACTACCAATTTTTTTTTTCTTCAATAAATTGTAGGGATTGAGTATAATTATTGACTAAGGCCACAAACGTCGAGCATCCATTCGGCGAAACAAACCCTGGCGCTGTGCATCAAAACCGTTGGCCAGAATGTTATCGGGAAATGTTATTAAGCAGCAAAATATGTTTATCTTTTTAAGTTAACGGTTTAACTGTGAATATTTTGGAAATCGGCCTGTTTCCAAAATATGTTGAAGTGTTTGCGTTTACAATATTCATCGGGGGGGTGGGGGAGGGGGTGAAGAAAGCCGTATGCTTGTAAAGGGTCAGGACAAGTTAAAGTGTACAGTGTAAACAAGACGGTAGAATGCCGGACACCTCTTGTGCGTGTGAGTGAAATACCTTTGGCTCGCTTCTACCGTAAACGTTTGCCAAAATGCACCGGGCTGAACATGCTTAGTGGTACTTCATGCTGACTCCGTCCCGTGCGTGCCTGCACATGGGGCAGTGCAGTGCCACCTGCCCCCTACACGTCGAGCCTGTGTTTCCAAGGTCTTCACTCAACCGTATGATACGCAATGTAACGATACCTACTGTCCTCCGCGGCGATGTGGGAGATCAATACCGCGGTGTTATTCATTTCGTTTATCGATGTGGAAGAAAAAAAATCACAGATGATCGCTGAAAATGGGAATTGTTTGAATAGACCCTGCAGCTTTTGTGGATAATCGGAGTCACTGATAATAGCAATGTGGATAAGAGGCCTTCTGGTTAATGGCAATGGTGACGGGGATAAATCAGAAACACGGAGAATGCAAAACATGGCATTTCGGCTGTACAAATGTACTTATTGTTTCTGCTCTTTGGTTATTTCGGTAAAGTCACGTGGGTAGAAATAAAACGAAATAAATCACGACGTTTTGGACGCAACACAAGCGGCGGGCTTCAGGTGAAAATCGCGATAGCCGCGATGTCTGCTGCCTTGTGGATCATCGGAGTCTGCTGCCTTGTGAGGCAGCAGACATCGTGCTGCAAGCAGCAGACATCGCGGCTATCGCGATTTTCACCTGAAGACGGGCGCTTGTGTTGCGTCCTATACGTCGTGACTTATTTCGTTTTATTTCTACCCACGTGACTTTACCGAAAGAACCATAGAGTATGGATTCCAGCAGTCACGAAAACTTCACATGCTTATTGTTTATTGATGTAGAATTAGGAGGGGGCGGTGGAGGGGAGGGGCTGGAAGGCATATAGTTTGCGATCTGCTATTGCGTCTTGAAGTAATCGTCTCGTTTGCCGGCGCATTTGCGGTCACGTGGGTGGCACTGAGTCACTGAGTCGCTGACCGACGATGAATGAGGAGCAGCTAATAAATAAACCGCAAGGAAATAATTCATTACATTTTTCACAAGCACGGTTAATCCGCAATTCAAGACGCACCACTTATGGATAATCACGAGTTAACCGTATAGTCTTCAACGTTACATTTAATTTTCACGCAGCAGTGGATAGAGCGCGGTGAAAACGTTAAAGCGCATGGAGAGATGCGCGCACTCGGGACGCGTGCAGAACGAACGTGCGCCATTTGCGAGAGCTCATGAGCGCGGAGTGTATCGCGTGCGCGTGTTTGCATGGACGTGCGTGTCACGTGTGCGTCTTTGCGTGGATGTCGCGTGTTTGCGTGGACGTGTGTGTCACGTGTGCGTCTTTGCATGGATGTCGCGTGTTTGCGTGGACGTGTGTGTCACGTGTGCGTGTTTGCGTGGATGTCCCGTGTTGCGCGTGCATCTTTGCGTGGACGGGTGTCGCGTGTTTGCATGTTTGCGTGTTTGTCACGTGTGTGTGTGTTTTCGTGAACGCGTGTGATCGTTACCTGTGCAGGCAAGAACGAGAGCCCAGTGTTTGCCCTCCCACTCCTGCTGCGCGAGTCCCAAGAGCTGGAGGAGTTGTTCCTGCAGAGCTTTTCCTGGGAGACGCACTGTCACGTATGCTTAAAGGAATCAAGGCGCCAGTAAGAATATTCGCTGACTATGCCAAGTTCTTTGAATAATAATAAAACACTTTGCACTTTTTTGCAACATGTTTTTCACACATTTTCAATATTTACAATATGCATTTCCAATATGTATGCGAGTGTGTGTGTGTGTGTCTGATAGGTGCTTGCTAACAGCACTTGTCGCTACAGCTTAAGACTATATGGGGGATCATTTGCTTGTTTAACAATATATTATTGCATTTACATGTGGTCAAAATCCTGGTTACATTGCAAATTGCGTTTCTATATGTGTAAAAAAAAACCAGCCAGGGCTTTGTCAATCCACTGCTGGATGAAGGTTTCCCTACATTGTGTGTTTCATAGCGGGGGTTGGTGGACCATATTTCACCACACTTGTCAGCACAGGCTGATGAAGTGGGATGTGGCACCCGGCCAGAGCCGTCCTCTAGGGTAACGGTGAATCGTGGGTGAGCGTCCCGGGCCCTGCGCTTTGCGGGGCTCCACGCCTCGACGTCACGGTGTCAGATGCAATAATCCCGGTTTAGTTTGAAGGTATCGGGGTGGGTGGGGGGGGTGCACATAGAGTTGAGTTGCCCCGGCCCCCCCCCCTCCACCATGGACGGTCTTGGAGCCAGCACCGGTTCAGATATCGCTCGTCACCATTGTTCGCCGTGACCGGTAATCGAACTCAAGTTGCCAGGTTCATAGTGGACTTCACTGACCGATGTGCCACCGCTCCGCAGCGCGGATATATGTGGCCTGAAATATTATTGTATTTTCATGCTCTATAATGTATTTGTATTTTGTCAGTAAACTAAGTTGACGAGTGATGGCCAGCTAAGTTTGGCTCACACTCGCCCACGGTCGGGTTTAAGTGTTCAGCACATGTTTAATTTATAAAATTCCAAATATAACGCAGATGCTTGAAATTGTTGACGATTTCATCAAACAATAACAACTTCCATTCGGGTTAATTTTGCTATTTTTTTTTCAAATTGAAGAAGATTCGTTTTTTAATGTAATGTTACAAGTAGAATGATAACACGGATATAACATTACAACAAGTATACAGTGATACATATTTGAACTTCTCCAAAATTATGATTACTTTGAACGAATTCTTCCATTGAGGAATATCCTATGATTTACAGCTATGGCTTGGATTAAAATCTATTCATAGATTTAAAACAATATATCCAGACCCAGCTTGAAGAACTGGTCTTTGATGTGCCTTTTTTTGGGGGTCACATTTTCATGACTTTCATAAATGCTTGTGATATTACAAAAAGTGAACAGTACTGGAACAGTGGTTCCAGCAAGGGGCAGCAGGTACCAAAATGAGATTTCATCAAAGACCCCTGCAAACGTGTGGAGGATAGTAAGCCCTCGTGGAATAGCCACTGTGGTAACTCACGTTTGAACTGCTTGCCGCCGGGTGTATAAAAGGAATGCTACTTTATCTTCGGCGTTCTCTCGAGCGAGAAGCACATCGGAGTATTCCAATATTTTTTTTTCTCTAATACGTCCCCAATTGTATCCCGTTTCACGCTGCCGGCATCATGTCACGAATGGCAGTGTCCGTTCGGAACTCTCACAGAGCAGTGCAACCCTTGGTGTCGGAGAAGGGCCCACGGAAGCAGATATGACAAAGCTACCTCTGAGATCCCTTGAAGTGACCTGTTCCACACAGTCGACGACAGCGCTCTCCCACTCGCTCGGCATCTGAGACTAACATGTTAAATGATGCTGATATGTGGATATAGTTCCGCTTATATATGCTCGTATTATGCTTAAACGCACAGTCATCCAGAGTAATGCATAATCATCGTTCTTTTTTTGTATTTAACAGTGGAGCGTGTTTGCAAATAACATGTGCAGCATTGGTTTTAACAAGCCTGACTGGCTGATGAGACCTCGAAAGTCAAAACTGCTGCAGAGATTGCTTGCTTAAACAATTCTGCTGGATCATATTGGCTTAAAAGCCAATAGGCTGACGGACTAAAACATGTTTTTGAATCTATATTTGGAGATGGAGAATTAAGTTTTGCTTGTATTTGCTTTTAACCAATGCAATGTCTTTCAAACCTTCACATATGAGTTTTTTTTATGCACGTAAATGTTTCCCTTTTGTCGCGTTCAAAACAGTCTGCATTTCATGTTGTGTTTTACAAAGTACACCATGTTACCTTCGTGATTATGGACAGAAAGTACATCCATTGCTTTGGCAATGCCTGAATGTTTTCAAATTACGACACACGTAACCGCAGCTAAGCTAATACGGATTATAATAGACATACAAGGTGTGAATGTTTATTTTTTTATATATGCATTTCTCCCTTGCAATACACCTTATTGTCGTGTCTAGAATGGATTCTTGTTTTTTTTGTTGCAATTTTATTTTTTACAAATGGAAAAAAAGGTCCAATTGAAGGACTTTTTTTGTTTTACAATATCCTCCATGGAAATTGAATGGAGCCACAGGAAGGCAGATCTCACTTGAGTTTCACAGCTTTGTTTTATTAAATTCCTGATGTATTCAATGTGATGTGTGTAACAAACCCAATACAGTGTTTGGGGGGGTGGGGGGTTGGGTGGGGGTTAGGAGACTTGAGAATGCAGGAAAGACGATCGCAGCTTGAACATCGTCAATTTTCCATACAGCCTATGCCACCTATTGGTGGAACGCATCTTTACACGGCACTTCATTGCATAATAGCTGCTAAGGTTGTGTAATGCTCTTAATTGTAATGGCTCTACAGTGCAATTTTTGTTATTTTGAAACGTTATCTTATTTTAGCCGACGACCGCACCACGGCTCAGCCCTGAGTTCAGTTCCCGACCGTGGTTTGCATCGGTGGCGAGTGATATCTGAACTGGTTCTAGCCACCACGCTACTTTGCACTGACCAGCACTGACCAAAGTGGTAAAGTTTGGTCAAACCTCCCCCCGCCCCGATATCATTCGCCAAAGGACTGTAGAGTATTATTTTACTGTAGCGTGCACGTTAACGTGTGGACGGTCTGTGATAAAAAAAAAAAAATTATACAGCTCTTGAATATGTAGAAATAGATTAGATAGCAAACCACTCGGTTTTGTTGATGTGGTGAGGTTGATTGCATTTTAAAATAACCCGACGTATTGTGTAAATGAATTGTCCTCTTCATTCTAATACAAAACACCGCAGTCATTCTATTGGCCTACCAATGGCACATTCAGTTCCCGAAGGGGGTATTTTTGTAAGTGTAACAATGTGTAAGCAATGTGATAGGGAAAAGTTATTAGCTTGCATTGCAAGGTGTAAGCAATGTGATAGGGAAACGTTATTAGCTTGCATTGCAAGGTGTAAGCAATGTGATAGGGAAAAGTTATTAGCTTGTATTGCAAGGTGTAAGCAGTGTGATAGGGAAAAGTTATTAGCTTGCATTGCAAGGTGTAAGCAATGTGATAGGGAAACGTTATTAGCTTGCATTGCAAGGTGTAAGCAATGTGATAGGGAAACGTTATTAGCTTGTATTGCAAGGTGTAAGCAATGTGATGGGGAAAAGTTATTAGCCTGCATTGCAAGGTGTAAGCAATGTGATAGGGAAAAGTTATTAGCTTGTATTGCAAGGTGTAAGCAGTGTGATAGGGAAAAGTTATTAGCTTGCATTGCACGGTGTAAGCAATGTGATAGGGAAAAGTTATTAGCTTGTATTGCAAGGTGTAAGCAATGTGATAGGGAAAAGTTATTAGCTTGTATTGCAAGGTGTAATCAATGTGATAGGGAAAAGTTATTAGCTTGCATTGCAAGGTGTAAGCAATGTGATAGGGAAAAGTTATTAGCTTGTATTGCAAGGTGTAAGCAGTGTGATAGGGAAAAGTTATTAGCTTGCATTGCAAGGTGTAAGCAATGTGATAGGGAAAAGTTATTAGCTTGTATTGCAAGGTGTAAGCAATGTGATAGGGAAAAGTTATTAGCTTGCATTGCAAGGTGTAAGCAATGTGATAGGGAAAAGTTATTAGCTTGCATTGCAAGGTGTAAGCAATGTGATAGGGAAAAGTTATTAGCTTGCATTGCAAGGTGTAAGCAATGTGATAGGGAAAAGTTATTAGCTTGTATTGCAAGGTGTAAGCAATGTGATAGGGAAAAGTTATTAGCTTGCATTGCAAGGTGTAAGCAATGTGATAGGGAAAAGTTATTAGCTTGCATTGCAAGGTGTAAGCAATGTGATAGGGAAACGTTATTAGCCTGCATTGCAAGGTGTAAGCAATGTGATAGGGAAAAGTTATTAGCTTGTATTGCAAGGTGTAAGCAGTGTGATAGGGAAAAGTTATTAGCTTGCATTGCACGGTGTAAGCAATGTGATAGGGAAAAGTTATTAGCTTGTATTGCAAGGTGTAAGCAATGTGATAGGGAAAAGTTATTAGCTTGTATTGCAAGGTGTAAGCAATGTGATAGGGAAAAGTTATTAGCTTGTATTGCAAGGTGTAAGCAATGTGATAGGGAAAAGTTATTAGCTTGTATTGCAAGGTGTAAGCAGTGTGATAGGGAAAAGTTATTAGCTTGCATTGCAAGGTGTAAGCAATGTGATAGGGAAAAGTTATTAGCTTGCATTGCAAGGTGTAAGCAATGTGATAGGGAAAAGTTATTAGCTTGCATTGCAAGGTGTAAGCAATGTGATAGGGAAAAGTTATTAGCTTGTATTGCAAGGTGTAAGCAATGTGATAGGGAAAAGTTATTAGCTTGCATTGCAAGGTGTAAGCAATGTGATAGGGAAAAGTTATTAGCTTGTATTGCAAGGTGTAAGCAGTGTGATAGGGAAAAGTTATTAGCTTGTATTGCAAGGTGTAAGCAGTGTGATAGGGAAAAGTTATTAGCTTGCATTGCAAGGTGTAAGCAATGTGATAGGGAAAAGTTATTAGCTTGCATTGCAAGGTGTAAGCAGTGTGATAGGGAAAAGTTATTAGCTTGTACTGCAAGGCGTGTTATCAGGTCTTCAGTGCTTTTAATCCCTTAAGTTGGGGTTCTCGCTCTTATTAGGCGCAGTACATTACCGTAGTTTTTCTCTTTTTATACAAAGTGCGTTGCTGTGCTTTAAAGAAGCCTTTTAAAATTATATAAGACACTGATTTGCAGCTCCGCACCCAATTTCCATGGCAAATATTTTGTAGCTTCGAAAATATTTACATAATTGTGATTGCAAGCGCGTGCCAATTCAATATTTACACTACAATGGTTTATAGCTTAGCAATATGCCAGCTGGGAGAAGGTCTGTTTTTATACACTGTGATCGAGAGTGTTTCTCTGCAGCACCCCCCCCCTCCGTTTTATATAATTATGGTTCGTAGATCGGGGGCTGTGTTAGCCTAATGACAAGTGCCAGGCCGTGATGCACGCATGCTGTTCCTGCATTTTCGTTAATCATTCACATTAACTGAAGTTGAAACTTTAAAGCATTCAGACATTAGCTCTGTTTTGCCAGTCTATATGTACGTAAAGTGTGATCACAATAGCTCTCTTAAATATGACCCAGTGTCAATAAAAAATCCGTACAAAGTTGAATTGCTTATAGGGACTTAGCCTTAGAAGAAATCGGACAAATTTATAATATTTTTTACTGATGGGTTGCCCAGTAAAAAATAGGCTTTTTTTGGCCAAGGTGATGGTGTCACGCGCCATGCACGGACATCTCCTACCACCCTCTCCCCATTACATCATTGCACGTGACGTCATCTTGTCGTGTGTCTCGGAACAGAACATCATCACTTAACACGTCTGGGAATTGGTTACAGATTCCACGCACGTGTGATGATTTTTCCTCCTTGGTTTGCGATGCAGGGATTCCAGCTGCCTCGTCACCTTTCCCAGTGTGGTGTCAGACTGGCACCCGCTCAACGCCACTCACCTGGGCACCTGCAGCCACTGCCTGGCCAAAGAGCAGCGGCGATGTCTGCAGTGGCACAGGTAGAAGTTTGGTCTTCCTACGCTGAATCTGCTTTTAAAACTAGTCATTGCCTGACGTGTGAGCCTCTTGGGTTTTTCTGTGATTTTGTTGTCAGCCTTGAACTTCCTCCTGCTGGTCAAAGGCTTCCTCCGTTTTCTTCGATTCCTTCCCTTCCAGAGTTGTTCCTGCCCAGCAGTGGCCTTCAATTTATTTGAGGTCCCCTGACTGCTGCAGCCTCTTCTGCTGTCTTCCTCTGCTCCCTCTGCTTCTTCCTCTCGCCTTATCTCATCGGACATTTTGTTTATCATCTCTTGACAGTTCTTGTGACGTGCCCTTGCTGTTTGCACTTGAAATGATTTTGCTTTGACAACGGCGTCGGTGACCCCCTGTTTGCTGTTTCCTTGTTTATTAACTCGTCTCTTCAATTTACCTAAAATGCCTAATCCCACGTAAATATGAAACAATGTGGGCCTTATTATTTTGTTGTTATAAGGCCGAAAGTGTTGATTTTTATTTATTTGTGCTGGTGGACCACTCTCATTTTCTGAATGTAGAGGCCATCAGAAGCCAAGAGATTTATAGCTCATCGGATCCCTCCAGGATGAATAAATATTCTGATTCTTATAGGGGGACGTGAAAGCTCCCACATCATTTATTCTAAATTGCACAAATAAATTTGCAGTGTACGATAAAAACATTTTCACAAAAGATCATGACCAGTTAAAAGTTTGTATGTATGTTGAACTTTTTTCGCACCATACGTAGCCAACCATGCTAATCAGAGGACAACAAATTAAACACAAAAAGGAGTTCTAAAGAAAAGGAAGAGCATTCCAGACGGCTGCAGAAGCGCTTCTGAAAGCACGAGGGTGACCGGAGTTTGTGTGATGTTTTATGTACTTTTACTGGTAGGAACGAAATTGTAAACTGAGTGTACCAGCCTGCAATAGATTAATGTGTCCGTCCATCCGTCCGTCCGTCCCCTTTCAATACTTTAACGAAGTGAAAAATTCCAATGTTCCTACCAGCCCATCCTGCAGGGACCTGTTTAAATTGGGCAACCTCGCGTCCATTATTGAGGCGCTTGAAGTGCCCTGTTGAAATCTCGCTCGTAGGCTTGCGCCGGTGACCGTGATGCACTTTGAGATGGGCATGGCTCACGGGGACATGGACAAGTACAGCTTCACTCACCAGGGAGCTGCCTACGCCGTGTCGGCGTTCATCCAGTACCGCACTCATCCGGACCACTTCATCGCCTGGATCCGCTCGCAAAACGGTAACGATCCAAGGAGTCCTCTTGAGCCATTGACATCAAAAATGGCTTTATTTGGTACCGCACGGAGTGGAAAAAAATTTCCCCAGTCATTTTTCTGCAGTATTATTATTTCTAGAGCACAAATGCCTCTTGATAGTAATTTCACTGTGGTAGCTTTTTGTGGGGGAAATGTTGCTGGAGAAGGGTGTCGTAGTGTGCTCGATGGAGAATTTTGTAAAAACAAAAAAGTACGCGATGAGAAACATCCACAGAGTATAAAAAAAATGAAAGAAAGCGTGCGCATGAAACATAGTGAATACCGTCCATGGTGTATACTGCAAATGGTGGGTACTGATAGTATTTTCCGTCCCAGGTGGTGCCTACCAACCAACCCGCTTGGTTCATGGGCTAGGGAGCGTGTCGCCCGCCCACCGCTCGCTCGCTCACTCGCTCGCTCGCTCCCCTGCGTGTGTGAGTGTCTGCGTCTGTGACCTCCCCCCCACAACACTCAGCTCCCTCGGAGCGAATTCGAACGGCACTCAACCCGCCACTGCGAACTCGGGGGGGAAGCTCGTTCAGTCACCGCCGCCGTATCGTTTTACTCGATACGATATTAATTTTTTCCCGATTTGACGATCATCGCAATCGCATCGTTGTTGTATTGGTTTTGTCCTTTGCTGTACTTCCAGTTTGTGTGAAGTTCTGTGACTGAAGTTCACTCAACAGAACCCTGCCATAAGTCGTTTAAGCTTAGCAAATTTACAACCTGTAATGTTTTAACACACATTATGTCAGTTGCACAATACTTAAGTAAGATAGCTGTAAAAATGATGATGATATATCAGCATCGAGCTGTTACCAACTATGGAAAACGTTTCGTTTTTAAAACAAATTTGCATTGTTACTTGATATATATTTAGAAATGTAATTATTGTGTTTATTAATCCATACATATTCTGCCAGGGAATGTAATATTTTACATAAAATAAAAAAAATCAAAGGATAACCATGATATTCTTGGTTCTTTCGGTAAAGTCACATAGAAGGGAAACAATAAAATAAAAAAATATAAAACAATAAAATTCTCACGACGTTTCGACTGCAACACAAGCAATCATCATCAGGTGTGAAAATATGAATCCCTGCAGTCACGAAAGCTTTAAATCAAAAGATAACCATGATATTACAGCGTTTTCAAATCGGGCGATACGATGATGATACATCTCGCAGCACGTGGCGGATTGTAGTATCGTCATATATTATGGGCATCCCGAGTACCTTGAGTCAGAGGCAGGAGTGTAGTGTTACGGAGCACGTGTGATCTAATGCATTCGTGCGGGCAAAACCACAATGTGTGTATGAATGCCTCTGTGTATGCCTCGCAGTGTTTAATTTGCACTGTAAGGCCAGGACGCGTGTGTGGCTTGTGGAAATATGCACTGGAATACCTTCTGTGGAGGGTAAGGAAGTAAAACAACTTGATGAAATATAGCCTCTGATTGTTAACAGTGGGAGCGTGGCCACATTTGCACATCCATGCATCACTTTAACAATACAAATTATAGGGAGCTCTCCAGTAAAATTCAACATGACAAATATATGGACCAAAATACAGTTACAATAGACCGTGGGCTTATTGTCAGTGTAGCCTTTCAGCAGCCTTCCAGCCTCTTAAGGCCTCGGTTTGAAAACAGCAGTCAAAGGGAATTCAAATAAATGTAGATCATGCCTCAGTTGTACATATTCTGAGAGCAGAATGTTATTGAACCGTTATTTTTTTCACTGTACTAGCGTGTCCGCTTTAGCTGAAATCAGCTAGAAAGCAGTGTTTTTACAATGTGCGTGCAAGATTCGGGTACAATATAATTCACTTGCTATTTTCCTCAACTATAGAAATGTATTTTAGTTGTAACAATGCCATCCTTCGGAGCGTTTAGGAACACAGAATCAGCCAAGTGGCAAGGCCATGCGCTGCCTTGTTAGACTGATGGGCAGGTTCGATGCATTGTTTTTTGGGCGGTGGCCCGAAATTGTTTTTCCGATGACGTACGCAACAAAGCGAACAGACAAACGTAGCCGCAGTGAAACATTCCGCGCCATCAGCCCAGTCCCGTTGTCCTCGCAGCCGAAATCTTTGCATACCGCGTAAATTTTACTTGCCGCTGATGGCACGCCGTTGCGTGCCTCCGCTGAAAGCATTTTCCCTTGTGTTATAAGTGAAACCAGAAACCCACCCATAAATCGGCGCACTAACAGATGAAGAGCTTGCACGCCATCATTTGGGCATCAACGTCCAGCCAAAGAGTGGACCAAGTGAATGGAGAGAGAGAGAGGGGGATTTTTTTTTTTTAAGCTTGTGGCTCTTGGATTGACTCTGTCCAGGCATGGTGCTCCTCCAGTTCTTAAGTTTGCACAGTCTCGTTTCATCATCATCATCATCGTCATAATTGTCATCTTCAGCTATGGTCAATCCACTGCTGGATAAAGGCATCCCTGCGCCGTTGCAATCTCTCACAGTCTCATTTACGGCCGATTCATCGTTGTAGATTTTTTTAAGTGTTGGCGCAGTGGTTTACGCACTGCAACTCTGAACCCGGTGACCTGAGTTTGAATGCCGGCCATGGTTAATATCAGTGGCGAAGTGATATATGAACTGGTCCCCTTTCACCAAACCGTACCGGTCAGTGTTGTGGCGTATGGTCAAACAAACCGTTTGACCGGCACAGTTTGATGAGGCCTTCATCCAGCATTGGATTCGCAGACGGCTGCAATTTATTAGTATTGCTGTACAAGAGTGTGCATGTTAACATGTGAACTGTCTGTAAAAAAATAATAATTGTGCAGACAAATTAAAGAGGAGATTAGTTGATGTGCTAAATATGTAGACATCAAATCGATAGTAATTATTAGAATTACCCGTATTATTAATCATGATATTCATAATGTTTCACTTGTGTCGGGGCTGACATTTCCAATAGCGTAAGGGACAGCACAGGCGCATATTGGAGCGTATATATTTGTGCGAACATGGATGTGTTTTATATCAGTCTCTGACCAATGCGGCCTCGAAGAATGTCAACGTGTATTTCTTTTCCAACGCGCGAGGGTTAAATTGCAACGGTGCGGGGATGCGCGGCTTTTTTTCGAAGCAATGGAGCGAATTGGTCGTAAATGCAATGCATTTTATCGGTATTGAAAATTAACTTGCGGAAGAGGCGTGCGCTTAAGCGAATCATCCCTGCTTTATGGGGGGTCCGCGGGGTTGGGCGATGATCGTTGCGAGTGCCCGGCTGAAGGCACCGTATCAATTAAGTTCGATGCGACAGGAGTGGGGGGACGACACTGCATTATAGCAAGCACGCATGATCAGTGTGCTCGGAGCAATCAAAACAGGTCTGCTCCGTCTCACAAATGCCGACCAAACAAGGGCCTTGTCTGGTTTTTTTGGGCTAACTAAGAGTAATGATAGGAAAAGGGAAGCCGGCTTAAGCCTGGGTAATGTCTTTTGCGGAGCGCAGACTGTAGTTTCATTTGCATTTTGTGCTGAAATTGCGCTCGCCAAATTTGTTTCCCCTACCATTCCTTCAATTCTCCAATCGGCCTCCGTGCGTTCGGTTAGGGTTAGAAACCTTCTAAAGAGATGGGAATCGGATAGCATTTCCATGAAATCTTCTGTAATTGCCCTTTGAGTTTTTGTTGGCAGAGAGGCTGAGAGCCATTTTAAGTTTGCCTGGTGTCTGCCTGTATTTAAGTGGCTGTTTGTATAGGCCTAGCTAATAAAATGGACCTCGTGTGGGTGTTGGCATAGAGCTATTTTCTTGAAAGCGAGATACATCATCCGAGATTTGTTTCTGCTTGCTTCCCTTGATTAATGCTTGGTAAATTAAAGAATTAATAACTCTAATTGGATGTTCAGGGGTGGAGGGGAGGGTGGAAGAGCGAAGGGGGGGAGGCGGTGGGTAAAATCTGTAACAGATACATGTGGTTTTTGTAACACAGCTGAATATCTTCTGGCCTTAGTTTCCGAAGCAAGAGTGAGAGGGAGGCGGTGACGCTGGGCAGCCTGCGCTGGACAGCGCGGTCGTGCGTGCACAGCGAACATCAAACGGCGCTAGTGGTGGTGCCGACTGATGTGCAATTTATTCTTTTTCCTGCTTACCGGTGTAAAATACTGCAATAACGAGATGAGAAATGTTTTCCATTCAGGACAAGTGTCTCGTTCCATAATATTGCAAATATATACCGCCCCCCGTAAATTGTGTATGCGGTGGAGCGGCGATGCGGTGGTCAGCGCCCCGCGCTATGAATGTGGCGACCCGACCACGACTAACATCAGTGGCGAGCGACATCTGAACCAGGCTTTGGAGCCAACGCCCTTCGCCAGCCCCGCACTGTCCAGCGTGATGAAGTATGTTCAAACAACTCAAGGCCAAGTGGCATTGCAAAGCATTCATCCAGCAGTGGATTAACAAAGGGCTGTAAGTTTTCACGGTATGCATGTTTAAAATCCAGCCGGGTGCTGCAGCGGTTAGAATGTTCAGTACGGTTTGCAGTCAGAAGGTTGCGATTTTAAATCCTAGTCCGAAGTCAACTCAACCGTTCATTCTTCTGGGCTCAATAAAATGAGTACCACTCTGGTGGAAGGTCGCTGTGGTTGTCCTATGGCAAAAACTCTCCTCCACCATAGGAATGTGGATTGTTCACTCCTAGCTCAGGGCTTTAATGTGGAGATGAGTGTCACCCTATGCTCTTTTAAATAGGAGTGATCAGTGAGATTATTAAACATATAATAGAAACACCACAACCATTATGAATAATAAATGAGTCACGTTCATTTGGTCTCATGCATTAGCAGCATGAGAGCTGATACAAGGGCCGTCCTGGAAAAAAAACATAACAACCCACAATGGATTTGATTTTGATTTAAAGCTTTCGTGACTGCAGGGATTCACATTCTTGGTTCTTTCGGTAAAGTCACGTAGAAGGGAAATAATAAAATAACAAAAATCTAAAACAAGAAAAATTTGAAGATTTTCTTGCTGTGGTTTTCACACCCGATGATGATTGCTTGTGTTGCAGTCGAAACGTCGTGAGAATTTTATTGTTTTATATTTTTGTTATTTTATTGTTTCCCTTCTACGTGGTGACTTTACCGAAAGAACCAAGAATATGAACCTACAATAGCTCAATAGTCGAGGAAGTTAAGTTTTGTTGAGAGCAGGAGAATTAAGTGAATCATTAAGCTCATTCGTTGTAATGCACTTTATTCAGCATTGCCAAGACGGAAGCGCGTATGGCATAGAACCAGACTACACATGATGGGCCCTGGAGATCAAGGATGTTTTTAATCTTGACTATGAGTGGATTGTCAAATGATTCAATGAAGCCATGATAGGTTATTGAATAAAAAATTTGGGTTAGCAAGTTTCTCGAGGACATCCCCTCAATTGTTACCGTACAAAACCTCTCGCTCATCCCACCTTGATGCTTTAAAAACCCGACTTGTGTTCAGGGGCGGAGCCAGGATTTTGACTTTGGGGGGGCTGACTTCAATATTCTGAGATATCCAGTGTTTATGTTTTACAATGGGCGCCACAAATGTATACAAATTTTTTTTTATTGGATTTGAACGCGGAGTTTATTTATAGGTCGGAGCCGCTGATGTGGCTAATAAGTTCGGTAAGTTCAAAAGGCTGCCGCTCAAGCAGCCTGCAGGGCAGCACAAGGTGACAGCCAGAATTTTGTAGCAGCCGGATATCCGGTTATCCCGATTACCGACTTTCCCAAAATTTCAGGGGGGCTGACCCCCCCCCCCAGCTCCCCCTATGGCTCCGTCCCTGCTTGTGTTGCATTGAAACTAAACTATAAACTAAACTATTTTTTCTTATTTTACCAGGTAAGGTCCACTGAGCTATATGGCTCTTTTTCAGAAGCGACCTGGTCACAATTGATAGCTCAACGAAATGCTTATCATGTGGCAATTTATAGCAGCCCAATACCTACGTGACTTTACCGAAATAACCAAAGAGTATGGATTCCTGCAGTCACGAAGGCTTCAAATCAAAGATCAGCCCAATACTCTTAGCGCATGTTCCTAAATGTGGAGGAAAAAACGGGCAGGGCCTCGAGCAAAGTCAACGTTACCACGGGGGGAGAGAGAGAGAGAGATACATGCAAAACTCGAAATATACAACAGGCGCCAGGGTCATGATCGAACCCACGACCTCCTGCATACCAGGCAAGAGAGTTAACATCTCACCACCACGGCCCATTGACCCGGTAGGCTCTACTGGAATCAGTGCCCAGTGTTTGCCTCCACCTGCCACACGTGGGACCACGTTCCCTGAGCCCATTGGTGGTGGAGCCAGGGGGGGGGTGGAGCAATGGGGGCATTTGCCCTTCCCCACCCCTCATTCCCTTGAAACCCCCCAAAAATGACATTTTATTGATATTTACCAGATAAATTTCACTGAATGTGTGTTCCTTTATTATGAATGCAGGTCCCTATTGAACAAGCTTGAAATTTCAGGATCGCCCGAACCAATGGGACGTTTTTTTTTTTCTGTCGTTCTGCCTCTGCCTGGATCTAAGCTCCCAGCTCTCCCTTGTGGTTGGGTGCAGTGCACTAGTTTTTTGCAGTAATGTTCACCAACGTCATTAAAACAAAAACAGAGCCAGAGATGACAAACACCACTTGAAATATGTTTTGAACTCTGGTATGCGAGTCGTATTTCCGGAGCGTTTATGTGCAGCGTTTATTGCAAGATCTGCAGGGCTGTAAGAAAATACCTCTCTCGGTGTGAAAACGACGTTCCGTACTTTTACTGAGCTGTTATTCTCCACCGCTCTATGCCGAACCGCATTGTATTGGCGAGATATGCATTCTGTTTGGGGGGGGGGGGGTATTGAGTCGCTGTAACTTATTAAAGTATATGTACAGTGCGAGACAGGAACAGCGTCGCAGTGGAAGGCACACGCTGCGTCATGAAACCAGCTACCTGAGTTCGGTTCCCGACCGTGGGTAACATAAAGTGGCGAGCGATTCCTGAAACGGTACTGGTGCTACCCCCTCACCAACCCGCACTAACCGGCGTTGTGAAGTACGGTCAAACAGCCCCCGTGACCGACATGGTGGGGAGGTCTTCATCCAGCAGTGAATTGATAAATTGGCCATAAACTGTACATACACTAACACACTACAGTGCTTAACTTTTGTTTTTTAAATAAAATACGTTGCATAGAAAAATGTAGATAAGCACTTAATGCGCTTTAAAATGTTTGATGATTGTACAGCACAGCATATGGTTACAGCAGGGATTTTTTTTTTAAGTCTGCAACTGATAAGGTGCAAATTACTTGAGACATTTGTGTTTTTTAGACATCACACTTAAATTGACGTTTTAAACGTCAAATTGGCATTAATCATGTTGGCTGCCAGACAACACCGCAGCCAGGGATTGTGTTTCAAACTTAAAAACATAAGCTCAGCTGCTCAACCAAAATAAAATGATGTCTTTATTATTGGCACAATGCGAGGACTGCAACTTTCCATCATGTACACGCATAGTCGGTTTCTCTCCCGCGCCTCGCTCACACTCTGTAACGTGCAATTATTGTAATGAAAATCACAGTCCTCTGAAGCTTTTGAGAGTACACAGATGGCGTTTCAGTTCACATTTCAATTTTACTGTGTTTTTGGGGCCCTTTTTACGTTATCTTTTTTTTTTTATCAAGTGTTAAGTTAGCATCAGGGGTTCAGAGCGATGGGCGCAGTGGTTCTCACACTGCGCTTTGAACCCGGTGATCAGAGTTAGATTCTTGGCCACGGCTAGCATCAGTGGCGAGTGATATCTGAACCGGTACTGGATCTTACCCCCCCCCCCCAACCAGAGTTTTGAAATTCCGTAAGGACTCCCAATGACCGACACAGCCAGCAGTGAATCTTCATATTTTCATCAGGGAAAGACACATCCACAAAGAGCGTTGGTTATTATTTCTCAAAGCATTCACATTTAAAAAATAACGCTTGATGTTTTCTTAATTTCTAATCCTACTTGGCATATGTAAAAAATGGAACACTTGGAAGCGTAATTTTTTTTAATTTACAGCCACATGGCATCGCTCAGTTTGGTGTGTGAAAAATTGCAGAAAGAATTAAATGGTGTCCTATACGTCTTATCCACTTGTGGTTGTGTTTTTACTTGATTTTATATTGTCTACAACTACAACAACAAATGTGAGGAAAGCGGAGAACCAGGGTACACGACGTCCAGGCATCGGGCGCATAACAAAGCCTAGCAATATTCACCCCTCGCTACGATCCAGGAGACAAACAGACAAGGACAGGGAGAGAAAGGGAAGAACATGATGTAAGAGAGAGTTAACAGGGAGAGAGAAGGGGAAGATCTGTGGCCGTGTTCGTGGAGTGTGACGTGTCCGGCTCCCGACACCGGCCGCTTTTCAGACTGAGAAGGCAACGTAAATTTTTCACTTGTCTGCCCCGTAGCTTGATCTCGAGGTCCCTTCGCATGCTGGCAGGGGTACCCGGCCACGGCACATTAGCCCCCGGAGCCACCCCGGCACCCACAGCTATGGCAGCTTTAATACTTTGTTTTGATAGGTGGGCCTTTGAAAGAGTTTAAATAAATTGTCAGTGGCATTTATTAATTAACAAAGCGACTTGCTTCAACGGTGATTTATATGACATTCATCATCATGTTCGCCTTTCACTAGTTGTTCTGAAGCGAGCTTGTGTGTTTGTAAAAAAAAAATGCACTTAGCGCGTGTTTACATTGTGTGGGTTGAATATGGGAGCGCAACAGTTGCTGCATAAGCGAAATAAAAGTTAACAAATGTGTTTCTGACAATGGGACACAACGCAGAATCTAGCAGCATGTCGGTTATGCTCGCTGGCAGGTACGTGGCTGGAGTGCGACGATCTGAACGGGCCTTTCTGCGTGGAGAAAAAGGAGGTGAGCGTCCCTCCGGAGCAACTTCACGTTGTCTTCTGGGAGAAGGTGGCTTCCGCGGACGCGGAGGGAGGACGGACATCCGGTGCGGAGCCTGGAGACTTCCGGCAAGACTACGGAGAGCTTGGCAGCCAAGCAGTGGCAGCGGGTGCGAGAGCAGACCGTTCATGTGATGTGGAGGATCTGGACATTCCCGATAGACGCAGGGAGGCCGAGCGTCGCGACGTCCTCCGGGGTGACGGGCGTCGCGACGAACGGAGGGTGCACTTCGCTGACTGCCCTGCGGCAATGTCCGAGTCGTGTGCAGTGCGAGCAGCAGGCCTCTGCACGGTGCCCGGCACGTGGCCAGACTGGCAGGAGCATAACCAAAGTGAAGGTGTGCACAGCGCAAGTGGGTCCTGCGTGCCACGGGACACGAATGAACGGAGACACATCGATCAGACGGTCGGTATGAATTCCAACAAAGGCACCCACGGTACCTTGATTGACAAACAAAGATATCCGGTCAGTGTTGAAAGCGGGACGGCCGCATCGGAATGCAACGACGGCACGGAAGCGACGAACGATGCCGGCAACGTGTCCCCAAAAAGTGTCGCGGTAAGTCCGGTGGCAGCTGCGCTTGGACCCGGCGTTAAAAATACAACCGACGCAGCGGCAGGAAAGTGCGCTGGCAAAACGTCACCGCAACGGCGGCACGTTGCCAACGTGGCGATCGTCGCCACACCGGTATCGCATTCTCTTGCGGGAGAGGACTGCGGCAAGTTTCGCGGCTGCCAGCTGAGAAGAGATCGCTCGCCGGCGCCGATCGCGGACGCGCGCCCAGCGACGCCGAGCGAGCGAGGAGCACCGGGCGAGCGCGTTGGAGTGCTGGAACGGAGGCCACCGGGCGACGGCTGCGGGGAGCGAGGCGAGGACGAGCGGGCGCAGCGGGAGGCCTGCGGGGAGCTGCACTCGCTGCTCAAGAGGCTCGGCAAGAGGAGAAGGCGGCTCGCGTCTGTGGACAAATTCGTCACCCAATGTAAAGAGGCGCTCGCAGTTTGTACCGCTCGCTCTTCTGGGCACCTTCACAATTCAGTCGCATTCATTAAGCACCCTGGGATGCCGTAGCTTGCAAGGGTATTTTGCATACATAGGAGTAGCTTATAGCGTGTCACATGTGACATGTGAACGTTCAATGCATGCAAAAATATTGTCCTCAAACGTTTAATATTTGTGAAATATGTTTTGAATTCAAAAAGAAGGTATTGTTCATTCCGAAATGTAATTTTCCATTCAAAGATATGTTAATTGTGGTGTGCATATTGAGCATTTCATTACACGGGTATAATTTTATTTCCCAACAACGACAGTGGGTGATTTTGTGTGCCGCGTGCTAAAACGTGCACTTGCCACGCTTTCAGGCCTGCTGCTGGAGGAGGACGGTGACTGTCGAGGAGCTCTCTGTGAAGGGACGGGGCCAGAGTCCTCACCTCCCCAGCAGACTTCCACGGTCCGCACGGAGCAGGCGTTGAGCGAGGGACCTGAGAACGTTTGGACGGAACGCCAAGGACGTCGAGACAGCAGGGGAGCCTTGACGGAACCACCGAGTCCCAGAGAGGAACGGCATCCATCCGACGTGGAACATTCACCTGCGAGTGACCCGAGCGAAAAATGTGAGAGTCCTCACCGGTTTTATATGGGACGCGTGTCTGCGGAAGGCTGTGATGGAAATGTGGACAGGCATCATGCGTGCAATATAAATAACGTGTCGACTGAGGGTTCTGATGAGGATCTTGAAGGGCATTACCTGACTCTCGTTTATGATGCCTCTGTTGACTTGGTTAAGGAAAATTTGGAAGAAAGTCCTGCATTAGATGTGATGGATTCATCTACACAGGATCTTGATAAAACATTTGGTGGAACTCACCAGATTTTAAGAGAAGACGTTCCTGGTCGAGGTGCCGATACATTTTTATCAGAAGACCACCCGGCTATTGCAGGACACGATTATGCAAATTGTTCTGATGGAAATCTGGAGGACCAGCATGCCTTCAATGTGACGCAAGCATCTACAGAGGGTCACCATGAACATTTACAGGAATACCTCCTGACTCTTGTAGAATACTTGCCTGTGGACGATCCCAACAGAAACCTTGAGGCATTCTATATGTGCGATATCACGCGCCCATCCGCAGAAGGTAATCAGGAGATGCTGCAAGGACAGCACGCAACTGTTAAGGAACGTGTATCTGCAGAGAATCTTGATCAGAATAGTGAAGCCATGTTTTCGCCTTATGTCTTAAGTTTAGAAACTCAAGATTTTCAAAATGTCGGTTTGGTACGGGACACTGCAATAAATCCCATTGACCAAATATTGCAACGGGGACCAAACGAATCGCAAATCGTCACTGAGGAGGTGGGAACGAGGCCTGACGAATGGAATGAGAACCGGGCGTTAAAGCCGGCTGTGTGTACGACTACCGACGACGACGGCAGAGGTGCGAGCGAACCTCCGCAGAGCGATTCGGAGCACGCATCAAACAGCGAGGGTGCATCGGGCGGCCAAAGCACGCTTGGCAAAAAGTCAGGCGAAGGCAATAAAAACCCTGGCAGAGGAGCGGACGCCGGTGCCGGTGGACGCGTGCCAAAAACGAAAGCCACTTCGGCCTCTCGCGCGGGGGGCGGGAGGGAGCGAGCGTGCGCGCCGTCAACGTGCCGCAGAGCGGTCGCTTTGCCCGCTCCGGCGCTCCGGAGGTTCAGAGAGAACGCGCTGAGGCTGCAGCTGCTCGCGGGCGAGGACTCGGCCAGGTTCGGTGGCTACCGGCCGAGAGAGAAGGAGGAGGGCGCTGCCGTGCTGCCCAAGGGGTCGACGATCGCTGCTGCAGAAACGCCGGTGGTGGCGGCGGCGGCGGCGGCGGCGGCGGCGGCGGCGGCATCAGGCAGTGGAGAAGATGTTGCCCTCGAGCCGGCTTTGGCAGGGGAGTGTGGCGAGCGAGGTCGGTGTTTGACCGTCGAGCCGGAGGAAGGAAGTTTGAATTTGGCGCAAGCGAGGGTGGATAGCGGCGAGTTAAAAGCGCTGCTGAAGAGGCTGAAGAGAAGGAAACAACAGCTTGCGATGGTGGAGGGTGATCATCGTAAATAATCACGTCCAGGACTTAATTTCTAACTCAATATTGAAAATAAGGGTTGATAATGTCATATTTGTCGTGTTTTATTGTCTGCGATACAGTTTGTCTCAGCCCTTACGCGAGAATTGCCATTCGCAGGATTTTAGAAAGTCCTTAGAATAGTTTCGTTTAACTCTTAAAACATTTCATGTTAACGTTTAATGTTGACGTTAATTTATTCTGAAATAAATATAAGTCACATAAAATATATTTATATGTTGAAAAATAAATGTTGTGCGGATTATTTTTGAGTCATGCCAATAATAAAAAGCACGTATTTTGTAGAGAAGGGATTTATGATGCAGTATTTTGTAAAAAATATATATATACCTTGCACATACACTTTGAGAATCTTAACGTGTGATTTGTAAAGTACTTGTCGATGTACATGACTAGTGAATAAAGTTGCAGTATTATGAAACATGTTCTTGTATGTTCATGTATGGTTGTTACTAGATGTAGAAATATTGATAGATTCTAAAGCAGCTTGCAGGTTTCGATCATCCAGAATGCAGATATGTGACCCAAAAGTTTATGAAAATAATAAACATGAGTAATAATTTACAGGCCTTGGTAACTGCACTGCTGGATGAAGGCTTCACCATTCACTCAGTAATTTCAGTTATTTGACCATACTTCACCAATTTGTTGATTCGGGAATGGTGAAGAGGGTGCCCAGGACTGGTTTAATTTATTATTCCACTGACCTTAGCCATGGCTGGGAATCGAAAACAGGTTCATAGCACAGCACACTAAACCAATGTGCCATCATTTCACTCGATTCATAATGTTAATAAAATGTGTCAATTTTTTAAAAATATATTTGACAGTCTTACACATATATTGTCCGTACATATAATCATGGCCAATGTTATTAGTCAACTGACAACATTAAATAATTTTACTTAGTTAACCACGCTTAGCAAAATACAATAATTAAATTACGTAATGTTTCAGCTCGAAAGTAAGATAGCTTATTAAAACGCCAGTGAAATTGTTCATATGTATACGTAAAAGAGTAGAAATAACACATGGTGTTTCTATATAGTCTAATAGTCTATCTGTGAGTGTAGCTAAAGCATTTAGGGCCTGATACGCATGGCAAAGTTCCATGCATTTGTTCTGATTGTTGGAGAAAATGTCCCGAAGTCTTCACTACCATCACCGGGGAAACATCACCGAAGGCGAAGCAACGTAATAATCTGGCCCACGTTACACGCATTTATACCTCGAAATGCATTGCACATATAAAAAAAAAAATATACATTCGCAAGTTAATTGTGGATTGCCACAAGTCACGTTATCACATCTTTTTAAGGAAACGGGGATTTCTCCACAAAGCTGGCTGTCGCCTGATGAAACTAGTTGTAATTACTGCCGAAACGTCATACTCGGATTGTAAATGTGGTTTTGCTGTCCAACACACCGGTGTGCTGTAATAGTAGCGAATTGGCATGTTCTGTTTACGTAACAAACCTTACTAATTGACTATGTCGGGTGGTGGCGGGTTTAACGATATTTACGCGATCTAACCCAAAAAAACGTATAATTGTGGAATGTTAATACATTTACGGTATGTGTTTCACATGCAGTCAAAATGTCAGATTTTGAAAAGTCCATTTGTTGTCATGAGTGAAGGCCCTCCACAACCTTGAGTTAATTAACACATCATCATCATCGTGATTGTCATTCATTATTTAGAAAGCGTTTCACATGGAGTATGTCTCGAGGCGCCAGAGGATAAAAAAAAAACTCCCCCATCGTTTGAGACAACTCATTTTGTGACGAAGTGACTGCAGACCAAATGTGGCTTCCAAAAAGAATACACTGCGGTATTAACCACACACACACACGCGCGCGCGCGCACGCATATATATAACAAACGCGAATAAACAACATCGACAAATCTTCAAACTGTGCTTGAGACCACCACTCAGCGGGCCTTCTCCACTTCAACACATGCACGAAACCGATCGACGGAGCGAGTAGCCCAACACATTTCTCTGCTGATTGTGACCGGCCGTGCCTAATGCGCCGCTCGGCCCTGCGAGCATGTAACGGGCATCGATCATTTTGCTCGGCGCGACACCGTAGCGACGCGCGCGGCGTTTGTAGCTTGGCGTCCGGGTGCCCCGGGTATCAATGTTACTTTTTTCCCCTCTGATCGACACATCCACCACCGCCCCCGCTGCAGCCGCAGGATAAAGTGCGCGTCATCCGTCACTCGGATTCGCAGTCCTCCTCCTTTGAAATGGCAGCTGCCCTTTAATAGAGATGCATCAATGTCACTCGGATGTCATACAATATTGCTCGACATCGACACGCCATTAACCCGTTGTTTTATTTCACAGGCTCGTCGGATGTGGAATTGATGTAAATCCCATTGTCGGCTCACGGTCGTGGTTTAATCTTTAATGTTGTCCTGCCAGCTTCTGCGCCTTACGTGTTGATGGCTTTAATTTTCATGTAACCTGAGTGAAAGAAAAGGGCATATTTTGAAATCGCCAAGCTTGTAGTTTCAACAGAAGGCTTGATTCTTAAAGGAAATCACGCAGTGCATGGGGCATGTACATCTATCGTGGCAATCCACTGCTGGATTAGGACTTCTGCATGCCACGGGGATCGTGGGGGTTATTTGACCATACTTCACCTCGCTGGCTAGTGCGCATTGGTGATGGGCTTCTGGAGTATTTGTAAGCGGTGGTTAAAAGTGAGTTTACGTGTTCGCTATTAAGTATCACGCCAACCCGCGCCAATTCAGCTTTCCACGTATCTCCAGATATTATTGCACGGTTACATTTTAAACTGAAAAGGTAAGAGCGTAAAATGACGGTTTGATTTTAATCCGTAGCTGAAATGTCGCGACAGCCCCATTAAAATAAAAATACGTCATTTTGAATCATACAGCGTCTTTCGGCAACTGTGGCCTCGAGACGCTGTGCAATAGCAGGGCCTGCCATCGCATGAACTAAGATATACGCTGCGGATGTCTGATTTATGCACGAGTCGCCTTCAGTCTTGAAACAACAACAACCGATAATTGCTACAATTGTAATCATCACGTCTGTTAAATCTCAAGCGCAGTCGCTAATTGCGTAGTGACTGTGCAATATTGCTTTCCACCGTACCTGTTTGTACTGCAGCGTTTACATTGAGCGATTGCATGTACTGCACGTATATTCTTAGTTCTTGCGGTAAAGTCACGTTGAAGGGAAACAATAAAATAATAAAATATATATATAAAACAATAAAAACATTCTCACGACGTTTCGACCGTACTGCACGTATGTTGAACTTCGTTCGCACCGTACGCAGCCAACCGTGAAAATCGGAGGTGCGGGGAAAGTACAACAAACTAACACACAGAAAGCAGTTCTAAAGAAATGAGTTTTCAATCTTAGAGTTAAAAGTGCATAGCTCCAAGTGGCCGTCCTTAATATTGGAATGAAGGGCTTTGCGGACAGCCGCAGCAGCGCATCTGAAAGCGCGCGATTGGGGGACCGTCGCCCTTGTAACATTGTAACGTTGTCATCATCGCAAGTGTCCGTTGTGCAGTGGCAAAAAGCGACGGCTTGCCGTCCCCCCTCCCCCCACACACACACACACACATGTTAGAGTTAAATTTTTATTTTCTGCGCAGAGTGGTAAATTATGTTATTTTATTTGCCGCAACACGTGTTGAAGTTTTGTTTTACTGGCCCTTTTTTACGGCGTCCTTTTTTTCTTCATTTCAATTATTATTTATGTGTTTATTCAAGGGTCGCGAGTTTGATTCTGCTATAATTGAGCAATTTCGATGCTTTATAGTGCTCGTGTTGTATCAATCAACGGGGGAATCTTTAACTTTTGAACGATAGTTGCAGAAAGAAAGGGCAAGGATGTTTGACACAAGCAAGATGTCTTACGGCTCTCAAACGGTACATCTCGGGTGCCCCGGTGAAAGAGTTTGAGAAATAGTTTTCCTAAACATCAGGGGATGCTCTAATCGTGCGGGCATGTGTATGTGTGTAAGTTCACGGCTTAAAAAAAAAATCTAAATTCAGTGACGGCAACAGAAAATAATCGCTCGCCAAGTCTCTGGTAACAACCACATGCCAACAAGAGGGTTGAAAACTCGCGAAGTAATCTGACACGTCTTCATATATAATATTTGGTTATGGCGACGTCTTATAGTTCTGGAATTGCACGCTAATTTGATTACGACTGTAACTGCCTTGCATCTCCAATGTTTCGTGAATTGTGTACGTTCCTACAATGCCCGTGTGCTAATTTTGGTGAACGTAGCGTGCATTCCTACAGATGATCACATTGAGCGATGTGTGCTCTCAGTGCGGGTGGAGCGCATTTCGCTATTAACTCACTTTACCTAACTTGGATTCTCGGTCACGGCTAGCACCTCCGATTAGCACCACCGATTAGCACGTTTGGCTACGTAGAGTGCGAAAGAAGTTCAACATACATACATACAATACATACACACAATACATACATCCCGCACTGATCAGCCTGGTAAAACACGGTCGAACAACCCGCATGATTGACGTGGCAAGCAAAGGCCTTCATCCAGCAGTGGATTAATCAAGGGCTGTACGTGTGTATCCCCCCCCCCCCACACATTTTAAATCTGTACTACGCAAACAGGCAATGCTGGACGGCCGAATCTGCGTTAAGTTACGCCGCTTTCAAAACTACCCGTGCCAATGGCGTAATATTTCTGGTTCAAAGGAGAGAGAAAGAGAATGCATGAAGAATGAACTACACCTGTCATGATAGCCATTATCCCCTGGGTCAAACGAAAACGTTAAGGCAATTTTTTTTTTTAAAGAATCGGCTATTCCGTAAGATCATGGGAAGTATTCATTTCCACCTTTGATGTAAGGGGTTGGAATTTATGACATCTTTTTGTTAGTGCCGTTTTTTTTTTACAAGATATAATGAGGGTTGATGACAGTGCATAGCTATTGAAATTGCAACGACAGTTTTCGGACTTGCATATCTGTTTTTTTTTTTACCCCGTCCTATTTATGGTGTACACTGCATAATTAACAATTAACAGCCCCTTTGTCAATTCACTGCTGGATGAAAGCCACCTCACACCCTGTCAATCATGTTGGTCGTTTGACTGCACTGAACCGTGCTGGTTAAGGTGGGGTCCAGGGCCGGTTCAGATATCGCTCGCCACTAACGTGAGCCCAGGCCGGGAATCAGAACACTGCGCACGGCTCCGTTCGGGAACTTTACTCACGAGCCACGCACTGACTCCCCGCGGCCTCCATCGGCGTCAGGAGGAGTCGTGCATCAGCCCGGATAAAATATACCCGACGGAGTGCCGTGATTTGTGGCGAAAATAAACGAAAGATGCTCATGAAGCCGACACACCAACGGTGGCGGCGGGGGAGGGAGGGGGGGCGGAAAGGTGCA